TGCGAGGACAGGCTTTGGTCTTTGTTTTTGTGTGCCTGCCTTGTGCCCTGGGCACAGAGTCCAGGGACTGATCTCTGCCTGGATACACATGTTCAGTCCTAATCTGTACACAGCCAGGCTGGTCTCATTCACACAGCCAGGACCTTTCCCCTTCAGCTGCAGTTTCCTAGAAGTGTGACCGCCCAGTGTTATGATTCAAACAGGGCTCAGTCCCCAGGGATAGATAGCAGGGCTGGGTGGAGTTGGCAGTGTTGGACCTAAAATGCCACGCCCTGTCTCTCTGGTTTGCAGAGTAATATACAATGTAATGCCCATCCACACTCCTTGTGAATTACCTTCAAGAGGGTTAGGGGTGGGGATGAGGAACAGAAATCTTGCAACGACAGACTCTCTATCAACCAGATCCTGGGCTACTCCAAGCAATCACTGGAAGCCAGTACCTTCCTAGCTCCACGGAGCTTCCAAGCTACAGATCTCTGTGCTTTCAGGCCCTTGAGGAGCAGTCACCTGAGCAGAAGCTCCAAACCCTCTGCTGAGATTACTCCACTCCTGGCAGTTGTAGGGGTGGCTTGAAGAGGAGGCAGGGTGGGAGGGAGGGGAACAAATGATAGACCAGCTTTCTGCTCCATACAATTTCTACTGGTGTTCCTAAAGCACAGAATTCAGCATTGCCTATGAGTGCTTTTCCTAGCAATAGCAGCCATCAGAGGGCTGCAAGTGTGGAATAGAGAGATAGAAAGAGGAGAGAGAGAGAGAGAGAGAGAGAGAGAGAGAGAGAGAGAGAGAAAATGAATATGAATGAATATGCATATGAGAGAGACAGAAAAGAGCCCTGTTATTTTGTTTCCCATTCTCCATGTGATTGGCAGTAGTTTTCCTCCTCCACTAAGAAGTCAGCCTCCTCCCCTACCATCCTGATGTGACCTATTTATCTATTCCCTTTAAAGGAAGGTACCTTGGAAGGCAGCCCAGTACAGGGCGGTTCTGTCTGAGTCTCAAAGAGATAAGCTCTTAGTAAGTGAAATCCAGAAGCTGTAAAATCATGGGGCAAGGGCAAGGTAGTAGGGAGTTAGGCAAGGCTGGGGGGAAAGGGAATGGAGGTTGGGGCCTCAAGGAGAGTGTTCAGTGGCGTGCTCTTGGACATCTGGACTCTTCAAGCTGTGACTATGGGGAACAGGTTTTGGGCCCAGCAGAGAGTAGTGGAAGCAGCCAACATTGACTTCTAGAAAGAAATGCGCAAACAGAATAAACATAAAATCCCAGTTCTTGCAAGATTCCTGCTTTCTCCTCCTAGTTCACTGAGCTGAGTGGTCTCATCTCTGAGCCCGTTTCCTTATCTGCAAAATGCGGACAACAATTTCTACCTCAGAAGATTGATAAAAAGATTAAATTATTTACTGCACCCTCTGTTCTCTCCTAAAGAAAATTCAACTAGGTCTCAGATCAATGGCACATATCATAACTACCATTTATATGTACCTATTTTGTGGGAAGCACTGGATATAGAGTTTATCTCAATTCTGTGAGGAATCCTATATAATGAAGAGTAATATGCTAATTAGACTGAACAGCAGACCGTCAGGATGACCTTCCAGACGAAGCCAGGGCTGCAAGGGCCAAGCCCCTTGCACGAATTCCATGCATCGGGCCTCTAGTGTATTATGATCATTTAACCAGTAAGGAATCCAAGACTTAGAGAAGTTAAATCACTTATGCAAACTCACACAGCTAGCAGGTAGCAGAGCTGAGGTTGGCACTCATGGCTGTCTGGCCTCCCCTAGACTGTCACATCACTGGCCTTAATGACAAAGTAGCTGGCAAACATCCTTGTCCCCAAATATTAAGTAAATTTAGAATGCTGAGTCAGATTGAGTCCCTGAGAAATCAAAGAATAATTGGGTTGTATAATGCTATCATTTTATGTAAATCTTGGCAAGGAGGATATTGTCTTGCAGTCTGGAAAACTATAAATGCCTATCTGGTCTCTAGCTTCTGGGCCTTCAGTCTAGCCTCCCTCCAACCCATTCTTCTCACTGTAGCCACAGAGAACATGTTCCTGCTTCTGTCACTGAGCTGCCCTGAGGATTACATCCAAACTCAATATGGCCACGGCCTGTCCTGTCCTTGGTAGGCCCTAGACTTGAGAGGCCCTACCCTATTTTTTATAAAATGTATTAAAATATACCTATATCACTCCCAAATGTGAAATTTTTAATGCAAAAATTTTGAAAGGGTTTTTCATTATTTGCGATTTAGAATGATTAATTTAAATGTTTACTTTTCACATGTAGGTACCAATCATTTTTTTTCAGGTCTCAAATATTTGGGGCCTTTGGAAAGCTCACAGTCCGAAGGACTATGCATATGGTGCCTAATGAGTGAAACAGCCCTCTATGTGGCCCCTGTCCACTTCCGCTGCATACCAGGCTTTTGTAAATACTGTTGCCTCTGCCAAGAATTTTGTTTTTCCTTCTATAGCAGTGCCCTGTTCATACCGTTCTCCCCTCCCTCATTGCCCAGAAATTTATTTATTTTGACCTAAGTTCATAGAAGCCTATCCTCTCAGTTTCTTTGTATATAAAATAAGAGTGATAATAGTAATGTAGTACCTACTTCATATGGCTAAGATAAAATAAGCCCTAGCCGGTTTGACCCAATGGATAGGGCATTGGCCTGCAGACCGAAGGGTCCCAGGTTCGATTCTGGTCAAGGGCATGTACCTCCGTTGCAGGCTCCTCCCTGGCCCGGGCCCTGGTTGGGGCTCATGAAGGAGGCAACCAATCGATGTGTTTCTCTCACATAGATATTTCTCTCTCTTTCCGTCTCTCTTCCACTCTCTCTACAAATCGATGAAAATATATCCTTGGGTGAGGATTAAAAAAAAAGATAAAATAAGTTAGTATACCAGAGCCTTGCTACACAAAGTATGATACCTGGGAACTTGTCAGGCTCACCCCAGACACACTGAATCAGAATCTGCAGGTTAACAAGATCCACAGGTGATTCGAATGCACATTTAAGTGCTGCACTAAAGTACTTAGAACAGCGATTTTCAATCTTTTTCAACTTATGGCACACACAAACTAATTACTAACATTCTGCACATGCCAAAAAATATACTTTTTTGCTGATGGGCAAAAAAATAGGTATAATTTTGATTTAGTTACAAAACATGTAATTACCTACCCTTTTGCTTCAATGTGACTTTAAAAAATCAGGAGCCTATATGTGTATATAAGGATCTCTAATACCAAGAATTAACCAATCAGACGCAACCTTATTATGCCACATCGACCAATAAGATGCAACTCTATTATTTGACCTATATATTTATGGTTCAAGACAGGGCCTTCATATGAGACGGCTATTGTTGTGTTGGCTGTTGTCATGTTATTATTTGTCAATCTAAAGGAAAAGAGGTCAGTGTCCCTGACTAAATAGTCAGGTATTCCATGTTTTAAAAATTCTTGTGGCACACCAGTTGAAAATCACTGACTTAGAACAATGCCTGTTACATAATAAACACTCAATAAATGATACCATTGTTATCATTGCCCTCCGTTTTCCTTCACACCTACTTTTAACTTCAAAACTCTAGTTCAGCGGCTGATGCACCGTGTTCCTGGGGAACACTGGCATCCTGGGACCTGGACCACGGCATTTCCGCTAAATGCTGAGGCTCCAGTCAAAACAGGGTCCCTGCACTCAGCTCCCCTCCATCAAGAGGGAGACAAGTAAGGAAATAGGCAACTGCAATATGTGGTGTGGCAAAGGCTATTAAAAAAGGACGCCCAAGTCCTGTAGGAGGCAGCTAACCTAGGCTTGTGTGTCAAGGAAAGTGCTATTTATTCTACGACCTGAAAGATGTTTCAGTATCTCAAGATTTCCCCCCAAAGTGACAAAGTGGTCTCTACTTAAACAGTGATCTGATTGCATCCAGGTGTGAGGTGGCCTGGGCAGGCCTTTAACTTTGCTCTGAAGTATCTACTGCCTTTGCTGTCTGCTCCCAAAGCAAACAAGGGAACCGTGGAGGTTTGAGTCTAGAAGACACTACTTGGGGTCCAGGTCCAAGCCCCCTCACTTAGAGAAAACTTTGGCTTCACTGCAAACCAGACCCTCGGTAGCTATAAAATTCTTAATCTCTCAGAGCCTTGGTTTCCTCATTTCCAGAATTTGAATAAGGACACGCCTCTCTACCGTGTTCTTGTGAGACTGAGAGGACAAAAGTAAAGTTCCAGACACGGAGAAGGGGAAGAATCACGTGTCCCTTCTCCCTTTGCCTAGTTCGTGCGCCGTATAGCAGCTGGGTGGACTTAGGCTTGAGGGCTGGAGTTTCTACACTGTGAAGCATTTCTTCTTACAAGTACCACTCTCCCTCCCCGCCCCCAGTCGGGGCTGGGAGGCTGAGATAGGCAGCAATCGTGTCCGTGAGCAAGCTGGGAGGGACGGGGTCAGTTAGGGGCACATGTGGGGTGATTTTGGAGGGAAGAAAAGACCACTGTTTTCCAGAGCCCTAAACAACCTATGATGGATGTTCTGAAAGCTCCTGAACAGACCCGGCACAGTGCGGCCACGGTGAACCTCGGGCAGCCTGCCTGTGCTTAAGTGAGGCATTCCCTGGCAGACACCTTCGTGGATATATGAATATTCTTTTCATGGGAAGTCTGTGCCTTCTGAAGGCAAACATGGGAGACCTGGCTCCCCCACCCCCAGCCCAAACTGGCCCAGGAAAGGCCGGCGAGAGCCCCGCGAAAAAGGCAGAACGTTCAGGCAGCAGCTGATTGGTTGGGAGGAGGCCGGGCCCAGGGGCGGGGCGCGCGGGGGGCACGCTGCTGGGAGGGGAAGCAGGCCTGAGGGTACCCTTCCCCCATCCGGCCCTGGGGCCTGCCTTGCGTCTGGCCTGGAGCTTTTGTAACGGGGCTTTATCTCTTCCTTCCCTCACTGAAGATGGAGCGCAGTCCTCACCCTTTTCTAAAGCAAAACCACCCCCTCCCACCCACCAGCTCAGCTCAGCCTTTGTCTCGGGGCGGTCGGGCTGGCTTCGGGCTGTGGGAGGGCAGAGAGGCCTCTTCCTGCCTCTCCCCGCTCCGGAGCGGACTTGCTAACGGGTGGGTGGAGCCCAGTCAGAACTATTTCGGTTCCTTCTTCTCAGAGCAGCCTTTGGTTTCCTGCTTAGTTTCCCCTACCTAGGCTTTCCTTATGTTAACAATATAGCTACCACTTTCTGAGCACTTGCCTTATATCAAGTAGGAACTTTACGTATATATTTCCTGGTATTTTAGGTCACCTGTGTATCATTAACCCCATTTTACAGGTGAGACAACTTGAAGTGAAGAAAAGCCAATTTGCTGGATGAAACAGCTATTGTAAGTGGTTTAACTGGGATTCGCGTCCTAGGCTGGCTGGCTGGCTGAGCACTTTAATCCTGCCATGGTCTCTGGATGAGGCCTACGCCAGGTCTATGTTGTAGAATGTGGTGGTCAGCTAAATTCTACCCTAGAGCCACATTGTTTTCTGTTGAAGAACAAAAATTCAGTCGAGGAAATTTGAAGATCTAATTGGCTTTATTGAGTGATTCATGGTAGCATGCTGTCCAGCAAGTAGAGCTGAGCATACAATATGGAAGGTTTTCATAGGCAGAAGCTGGGTGGGGACAAGAAAGTTATGGTCAAAGGAATACAGATTAAGGACACGTCAATATATCGCCTCACATCTGTCAGAATGCCTATCATCAGTAAATCCACAAACAGCAAGTGTTGGTGAGAATGTGGAGAAGGGGGAGCCTTGGTGCACTGTTGGTGGGAATGTGGATTAGTGCAGCCACTGTGGAGGGTAGTGTGGAGGGTCCTCAAAAATTTTTAAATGGTACTGTCTTGTGACCCTGAAACTGGACAACCAATGAGTTCTGGCTGCCAGTCACTACTTGAGTCGATTAAGCAGAGACAGAGTTGAATCATATATGAGAGTTTATTCCAATAATGTCGGTATATAGGAGAGCAGCAGGTCATCTACAGAAATCTACTCTGCAACCCCCATAAGCCAGCTGCTTATATTGGGTAGAAGGACAAAGATTATATGGGAATGTAAGCAAAAGGAATAAAAATGGGTATGCAAAGGAAATAAAAATTGGTAGAATGGTTACAGATTACATGCGCTGTGGGCTGGGACAAGGTTGTTAGTCTCTCCATAATAGACAGTTCTAGGATAAGGAGAATGGACCACATTCCAAAGTTAACTCCCAGGTTCCAGAGCACAACTTCCAGCCAGATCAGAATATGCTTCCTTTAATCAGAATAAAGGGAAGGGTGGGGGAATGGGAAGAGGTCAACCAATGAATTTGTATGCATATATGCATATCCCATGGACACAGACAATAGGGTGGTGAAGGCCTGGCGTGGGGGCGGAAACAGACTGGGAGAGGTCAATGGGGGAAAGTATAGTATGTAATACTTTCAACAATAAAGATTTAAAAATAAATAATCAGAATAAAACAATTTCTTCTAACTATAGCTAGTCTTACTATTCTGTTTCTGCCCCTAACAACCCAGTGATTATATATATATATATAGATAGATAGTACTAATTCAAAAGAATGGGTTCACACCTATGTTCATTGCAGCATTGTTTACAATAGGCAAGATATGGAAGCAACCCACGTGCCCAATAGAAGAGTAGATAAAAAAGCTGTGGTACATATATACAATGGAATGTTACTTGGCCATAAAAAAAGAATGAAATCTTACCATTTGTGACAGCATGGATGGACCTAAAGAGTATTATGCTAAGTGAAATAAGTTAGTCAGAGAAAGCCAGATACCATATGATTTCACTTACATATGGAATCTAAAAAATGAAAGAAATGAACAAACAAAATTGAAAGAGATTCATAGACATCATAGACTGATGGTTGCCAGAGGGAAGGGGGTTTGAGGGACTGGGTGAAAAAGGTGAAGAGATTAAGAAGTACAAATTGGTAGTCACAAAATGGACACGGGGATGTAAAGTACAGCATAGGGAATATAGTCAAAAATATTGTAATAACTATGTATGTTGCCAGGTGGGTACTGGAAATATTGGGGCAGGTGGGAGGGGAACACTTTGTAAAGTATATGATTGTCTATGATTATCTTGCATTATTAATGAAAAATAATATTGAATATAAACTGTAATTGAAAAATAAAAATTTAAAAAGAAAGTTATTAACAAAAGAAAAGAAAGATTGTTTCATTACTTTCCTTTATGGGAAAGGACATGTCTCATCAGGCCAATTGCCTCAATTTCTTGAGGGGTAGGGTGGAGAGGGCCCGTATGACAAATGACCTCCTTGGTACTGACCAGAAAATTCCAGATTAATAAGATTACATTCCTGGAGAAGGTTAAAACTGCAATTAAGTCAGGTAGTAAATCCAGGTTCAGTGTCATGGGCTTTAGTACAAGTGACTTCATGTTGAACCTGTAGTTTTCTCTTTGAACACATCAAAGACATTTTTGGGGACCAGACTAGGGCAATGTTAGAAAAGATTTCCCTTAGAACTTGTTTCTTTAGCACAGGGATCTAAGCAAAGCTAGTGATCTGGAATTCTTTCCTGACTTTCACGAGGAGCATTCTAGCTTGAGGCACATTCCTCCTTCCATCCTCCTGACCCTTTGCCACCCTTTTGGGTTTATCCATGCTGTTGCAAATGTAAGATTTTAAATGGTTCAAATGGTGAACTCTGGAGAGAAAAAACAAGGCATTCTGTTCTTTCAAGGTCTCACCAATTGGAACTCACCTACAGATCAGCCATAAATATAAATCTAGAGAAAGAGAAAGTGAGTCAGGGAGCAACTCAGTGCAGTTACTTTCAGGTGCTCAGGGTGCTTGAGAAGGACTACAACCTCCCAGATCCTAACTTACCTGCCGCCACAGAATAGACGCATCCCAAGTCCCCGGAACAACCCCTTATCAGTGAAGGGGTGGGACTATTGAAGAAAGTATAAGTGGTAGCTTTGAAAACCAGAGAGCATTATACACATGGAAGACAGGGTTTCTGTTTTGATGAGACATCAGTAAGGCAATGTATGGCTTTTATTATTTAAAAATAGTTACAAGCAATTTGTCAAATAATTCTACCTAGTGAACATAATTACATAAGAGAAAAGCCTAAAAACCACCTCAAGGACCCAAACCTTAAGATCCTTAGACATGGTATGCAATAGTTTGTGAAGATCATCTCTTACCCCCATCTCCAACCTACAGCCCTCCATCTGGTACTGAAGTGGGGAGAAATCTGCAGCATTGGAGCCATAAAGGGCTGGGGCAGTATGACTCTCCATTCACATACGAGTAAACACAATACAAACTGGACATTTAAAAAAAAAATACTGTTAGCCCTAGCTGGTTTGGCTCAGTGGATAGAGCGTCAGTTTGCGGACTGAAGGGTCCCGGCTTAGATTCTGGTTAAGAGCACATGCCCGGTTGCAGGCTCAATCCCTAGTTGGGGGGCGTGCAGGAGGCAGCCAATCAATGATTCTCTCTCATCATTGATGTTTCTATTTCTCTCTCCCTCTCTGAAATCAATAAAAATATATTTTAAAGAATAATAATTTAAAAAATACTGTTATATGGGGAAGAGAAATAAAAGTGACCAAGTCCTTGAGATCATTAATGAAGGTCTTGAAGCCTTTGAAAAGGTCTCAGCAGCCACAGTGCTGTTCATCCAGCTTATGTTGTATTAGAAGAACTACACTTTAGTTTTTCTCAGGCCAAAACCCTAATATTTACCCTGTTTTAAAGCGTCAGTTTCACCCTAGTGGGTTGGGTTTCAGGCTCGATTCCCAGTGCATGTGGGAGGCAACCAATTGATGTGTCTCTCTCACATCGGTGTTTCTCTCTTTGTCTCTCCCCTTCCCTTCCACTCCCTAAAAATCAATGGAAAAAAATATCTTTGGATGAAGATTAACAACAACAAAAATAAAGCTTCTGTTTCCACATTTGTAAGATAAGGAGGTTGGATTTAATGGCTCCTAGGTTGCCCCAAGTTGGGGAAATTCCTTATTCTGCAATGCCCAGATGTTTTCATTAGTGATGCTCAGCTCCTCCATCTCAATAATATGTTAATCATCTGACCAACTGCTCAGCTTTCCTGCTTTATGAGATCATCACTGCCAGTTCCAAGTGCGTTTGGCTGCCAGAGAGCAAACATTCCATGTGTGAACTGGGGATACATATTGCTGTGACAATAGTTCTGGCAAATTTGAGGCATGCTGATTTAATCAAGAACAGCACTAAATGTGGTGCAGTCTCCAACACAGCATTAGAGACCTGGGCCTGGGGCAAAGCCTCTGAATTTGCTTTCAGGGCAGCATCAATCTTAATGCTCTTGGCTCTTTGAGGAGCCAAGAATCAGAGTCCTAGAAACCTTACACCTACCAAAAATCCTCAGAAAGTTACCAGATCTACCCCCATCTTCGATCACATAGGATTCATTACATCTGAACCATCCTCAGCCTTGTCCATTAGGCCGAGTTTCTACTTGATATGATGATCCACAGTTGGGGCTAAAACCATCCTCAGGAGGCACTTGGGTAATCGATGTATATTACATGATTAAAGAAAGTCGCAGCAAACTGGTCATAACCAGTGACAACCCACACACAGTTTCCAATAGGCATCAGTACGCAAAATGGTCATAATCTCAAAGTGACAACCCACACACAGTTTCCAATAGGCATCAGTATCTCCTTATAGGTACCTCAGACCCTCAAATCCATAGATGAAGCAATAGGTTGGGGTGAGGAACTGATTTTTTTTGTCTTTTTAGTGAATTCTTACACAATTTTCTGAGTGCCATCATTGAGGTATATGAAATATGTAGAAACACAGAGAAGGGAGGAGAGTGGTAGGGAAAGGGTCACATTTATTGAACAACATCAGCATAGGGGTTAACTATACAGGCACTGTGGGGTAGGTGAAGGTGGGCAAACGGGGAGAGAATGGGGGATGGAAAGAGACTGCTTGGGGTGATGGGAGCACTATGCAGTGTGCAGATGATGTTTTGTTGAATTGTACACTCGAAACCTGTATAGTTTTCTGAACCAATGTGACCCCAATAAATTCCACAAAAAATAAAAAAAGAATACAGGCACTGGAGTTAGATTGCTTGGGCTTGAATCCTGGGTCTCCCACTTCCTGGCTGTACTGTCTAACCAAAGGCCAATTACTTCAGTTGGAAGCGCCTCAGTTTCCTATAGTACTGTTATGAGGGTGACATGAATTAATTTCTGTAAAGCACTGAGAACAACTCCTGCCCCATATAAGTACTATGTAAGTGTGACTTATTTTGGCAAG